GCTTTTATCAATTAATCAATTAAGACTATCAATTACGTAAGTAAACTCGTTTTTCTCTCAGTGATTCAAAATCACACATATCCCCATTAAAATAATATCGGAGATGAGTCTGTTCATTGGGGGGGGGGGGGGAGGTATTAATACTTAATTGTGAAATTAATATTTTCTGCAACGCACTGCATCATTGTAGATTTTTTTCTTACCATTAGGTAGATCTCATGTTCACTTTATGTAAATCTATTAATTTTTTTAAAAGAACAAAATGAAAATACTTTATAAGTTAGAAGAAATTCTCTGCTGGAAACCACTTCTTGTTCATATTTCTCAAGTATGTACAGGAATGAACTAAAGTATATAAATTTATACATTTGTCACTTTATTTTGAAACGATTTGTTGTCACAGTTCGAGAAATGGCCTCTTCTTCGTTTGTTTAATGTCGTCGATGATTGAAGTTTCGTTTGACCTTTTTATCTGTGGTGATCGATTTGTTGTCGAGGACTGCCTGCTCCCCCCTGGGGGGTCCGATATTCAGGGGGGATTACCTTAATCCACGATAACGGAATTGATTTTAGTTTCTTAATAAAATCCACAACTCGGGTCTGATTTGGTGTGATACAAGTAAACGTGTATTTAGAGAGTCGTATATCTTGAAAACTTAAACAAGAAAGATCCTGCAACTGATTTCTGTTTAAAATAAACATTCACGTGATTTATTCTCTAGTATTTCTTTCTTCCGTTTAAACTTCAGACTTCTTTATCTTTATATTTATGGTGGCTTTTTATTTATTTATTTTTTTAATAATTGGTGTGCATTTGAAGTGGTCAGCATTCGTTAAAACTTACGTATGCAGGACCGGTACAACAACCATGTTCCAAGTGAAAACATAAAAATCTTTTTAACCAAAATTAAAGTTAAAATTTCCAAATGACAAGGGAATTGAATTTTTCTGTGCTTTTTACCAACATTCTTGAATTTTATGACTACATGTATATGAAGATTTGATAGAGGATAAGCAAACAATCTAGTTTGCAAAATGTCGTTTTTTTTTTCTATAACTGTAAAACATGATACATGTATATCATTGTCCAACCTTTTTCCGATTTAAATTAAAATTAAAATTGAAAGGGTATAGAACCTTGGATCAAACAGGGCCTTTAAAGCTTTGGTTTTCCTAAACTTATGCAAAGCTTTATAGAAACAAACAAATCAAACAAAATTATAAGCTAAACTGGTTTAAGAGAAATTTTGTATCTTGAAAAATGTTTATGAAAAACATTTTACAAGAATTTAAAACGTTTATCTATTCTTAATTATCAAAGCAAGAACCCGATTAAAATCAGATATTATGTATATTAATGTTTTCTCTAATTCTTGTGTTTAGCTGCAGAACTGTAGCGTTATGGCTTTATATTTTAATCTTTGACTTTGTTTATCAAGATCTATTTATCTGACTAAAAGCTATAAAGGAGTTTTATAAAGTTATTCAAAGTATTCACAGACAGCTACAGACAGACTGACGGACAACTGGGCTTCAGTCTTCAGAACTAAAACCTTTTATGGTATGTTAATATGCTGTTCTTAAATAAAGAAGCTTGCTTTTCTAAGGTATAACCTGCAATCCGCGGAGTCTATTGATTTCGAAGACAAACAGACAATCAAAGAGAATCAGTCCTCCCCCTTCACCTGAGAAATTTTACACGTGTTTTCCTGTGTACTTCCGTAAATCGTTTGTTTTAGATATTAATCCATTTAAAGATCCTATGTTTATCCTGTTGACTTCTTGTCTTGGAGCTTTTACAGAAAAACAAGCTCATTATAAGGACTAAAGCTGATGTTAGGGGACACAGTCCACACAAAATGGAATCCGAGTCAACAGACTTGGAATCAAGGCTGCCTGATTTTGGCAGACGTCCCTGTTTATATGTCTCGATGACACACCCTAAATGGCACAAATGACGGCCTTGATTGCTGCAAGAAAGAAGAAACAATGCGCCTTTGTATTATTGAATGCTGTTAATGCACCGTGTTATTGAACCAATGTCAATTCAGGCCTTGAGTTGTAGAAGAAATAGAGACTTAGCTTCCGTGACGACACCTGGGAAAAGTGAAACGAACCGGAAACACGGAAGATCTCACGAGATGATTGCCTCGCGATATTTTGCGGATGGTTATATTGATGGCGACAGCTGAAAGATGAATTAACTCATCTGCACTGAGTCGTGCTATAAGTTGATTGTTTTTACGATGTGAAAAGAAAGTAGCTGACGCGTGTTAGATCTAGTGACTATTACTGTAGTGTTGTTCGGATTGGATTATAAAAAAAAAAGACTTGGAAAGTAAGTCTTGGATTCCTCGTTTTACACCAATTCAATACAGGTGATATTTTTTGCTTGAATAAATTAAAAATCTTGTAAAATATAAAATAATTTAAAAATCGAATGGCTTGTAATCGGTATATATCTATGCTTTTATTTGCCTTTGTTATCGTGAATAAAACAAATCGCGACTGATGCACTCTTGAAAAGTATTTCATCTGCATCTTATTGCGGAAATTAGTACTCATTTAAATACTAATCTAAATTAGAAAAAAAAATTGAAAAAGTGCCCATATTCAAAGGACAGATTGATCTACTTGGCGTGACTACTTTGGTCGTATCGTCCGTTACATCAGAAATGTACTGTTTCGCCTCTGTCGAACTAGATCTTTATTTTTTGTCGAACGTGGAATTCGAAACTAAGGGAAGATCGTAAAATTCAGATATAATTCACATCGTACCGTTGTGTCTATGTTTGTAATTAAACTTTTGAATTGTATCATTTAATCAGTTACTAATACACGTATATCAGTTTCGCATTTTTACTTTTAAAACAAAAGGCAACGTTTAAAAATAAAGTCCTCGCTTGTTGTTGTTAACGTTGACGTTTTTAAAACATCTTGATAATTAAGGGAATATTTAGTCTTATTGGATCATCACAAACTGTAAGTCTTGCAATTTATTTTTTGGTCAGCCCAAACGAATTCTTCATTTTTCCTGCATTTTCTCTGCCCTATAGAATCATTAAAAACTATTTTATCTTAAAGAGTTGGCATACAAATTCATTATGCCGATTCTAAATAAATAAAATGTTACGGTGAAAAGCAAAGCGATGTTAATTTTTAAAATTCAGTTTGGCGGCTCTGAAATTTTACAAAATATGGGAAATTCTCATTTATTTTGACGCATACGCTTGGAGATGTCATTCATTACCAGAGCTTGTTGGTAAACAAAAAATCCCTGATTATTCATAATTAAAAAGGCCCTTAAATGGCCACACGTGGCCCCGAAAGACAAATGGGTAAAACCAGTCCTACGAAGACTCTGTCAAATTACGTTAACATTTTTTGTCCTGTCTTTAAAAGAGGGGGAAAAAAAACAAACTCGCTAATAATCTAAAGATTTACTTCAGTCCTATTCTAGTCCTGTATAATTACAAGGAATTTCTTTTAACAACTCATCAAAATTTACAACAGAAAATGCTACATGATTTTAAAGAAAAAGACCGTAAAATTCAGAAAACCTTAGATGAGTGACGTGTGTACAGCTGAATAAACATTCACACGGACCGCCCGAACTTGATCTTATAACCGGCAATGTTAATTAGATCTCATTGCTGATTAGGAAATCAACATTTAATTGTCTTTCTGTCTTCTCATTATTAACAGCCCACGTAACCGAATACATGGTCGTGAAACGCTCTGACATTAAATAATAATAGAAAAAGCATTCGGGTAAACAAATGGAATATTTAACGAAATGAAGTGAAAATATTTTAGCGATTTGACATTTCTGTAATGGGGGATAAAGCGTGTGTGTGTGGAGACGGATCTGTCTGTAATTTGGGTTCTTTTGTTAATTTATGACTGTGATTTTTCTACCGAGTGGCAAACTGTACTCTGCTGCATGGATTTTAACTTTGTTCAATATAATAGGAAAAAAACTGGAGAGAGAGAGAGAGAGAGAGAGAGAAAATAATAAAAATCATTTTGAAACAAGCAATTGGTCTCAAAACGAATATACAACTTGAAATAATAATATAATGCTTGAAAAAAAAATTCCGTAACAAACTGCATGTTCGTTGATTTTCACATTCCACAACATCATGCCTTGGTCAGCACGCCGACATTTACTGTATACAGTTTATGTTATGGGGCACCGAGAATTTCGTTATCAGCTCTATATAATACTCAATATTTCATAAAGTCAAACAAAAAAGGTCGGAACTGCCGCTGTCTAAGCGTATGTTTGATCCGGGTATTTAAATAATTTTGTCGGGTATAAACTATCATTTATTAATTTGTTGAAGCAGACGATATTTTTATGACGTATCTATATAGAACATATAAGCGGATAATTAACGGTCTTTGGTGAATGTATACCGTCATTGATTAGGACATTTACTAAGTATAATTTTTGATAAAAACAAAGCAAGTGTTTGATCTTGAAATGCTTTGTTTTATGAAATATTTAATTGACATCTTTCATTTTGGTTCAGAATGATTTAATAAATCTGAACATGTTTTTCTTCGTTTTCCTCAGAACAAATTATCAGAGGTAAAATTTCAGATATGTTTTGACATTTACCGGAAATCGTAATTAATTCTGTATAATTACCGTCCTTGTGTATCGTTTTATTTTTTTTCGTGGCGACATGAAACCATTTCCAATGTTTTACCTTAATCAAAGATCTGATACGTTCAATATGATAAACAAAAGGATTTTACCTGAGGCCGCGCGTGCGTTTGTGATATCAAAGATTGCCGACCTATACCTAATAAAGTGATTAAAGTTAACTTAGATTTTTAGAAATTAAAGTCAAAAAGATCAATAACAAATTCAGGAAAAACGAGGTTATTGATCAATATGGGGGATTCGTTTTATCAGACGAGTACATTTTCATTAAAGGGACGCTATTTATCATTGTTGTCAAAATGGTCACCATGTCTCTGTATAATTTCAGCTTCACTCCGCTCGTCCAGAAGCCACGACCCCAAACGTCACATCCGTTACATCACCAGTCATTCGCAGCGTCCCCTAGGATCCGGTCTGCTGTTGTAACGATGCCGAGATCTCACGTGAGTATCGCGAGATTCTATGATTGGTCAGAAGATTTGGGAGAATGTGTGTCCGTATCCAAGTTCTATAGAGACCTGGCTGTGGCCTCACAAAAACACGACAAAGTCAGGGCCAGACACAAATGCTCTTCTAATGGCGCTCACGTGAATCCAGGGCGCATGTTTCTCCGGGATAAAGCCGGGCTAACGAAAGGAGAAAGGGAGATAATCGAAGGGATTTATAGAAACCGGGGCGACCTTCCAAAGGAATCGGAAAATTTTAAATCTTACAATTTTAAGGATGAATGGGATTTCGTCAGAAGTCATAAAGACGCTTGGATGATTGGGAAACAGCTACAAAGACAAGATCTGAAATGTGACCCGAGTTTGCACCTTAAAGTTCCTGAACATTTATTCAGTCGATTAAGTGAAAATAAATCAAACTCATCCGGAGAGATGTGTAAAATTTGTGATGCCAATCTTTTAAATGACTCAGATTTTGATGAAAATAGAACCTGTTTTCATTGGAAGTCGAATTATCCAACAGCGCCACCTACAACACCGGATACTGATACACGGGAATTTGATTTTCCAGAACAAACGCAAATAAAAAAGAAATCCATCCAAAGATTCAAATACGAACAAGAGAAACAATCTGATGATCAGAGGTTGCGTGTTGTAAAAAGTGTGGACGAATCATTGCTCACTCCTAGATCACGTGACAAATCAGACAAAAAGAAATTATTCGTCAACGTGTTCCTACCCAGAATTCCGTCGGATGCTACTACGCATGACTACCCCTGGATTGTGGATAGCAGGACAAGTAGTTTTTTGACAGATTATAGTCGTAATGGCACGACTCCAAGAGTTTGTAAGACAAAGAACGAGTCTGCTTCTTATATGAATGCACTCTCTGTTGCTCGCAACCAAAACCAGACTTCAAAATCGCAACATTTGACTTCAAATAGCACTGGCTATGATTGAAACATCGTGTGCATTGGTGAAAGATTTTATTGTTTATTTATTATGATGTTATTTATTTTATTATTTGAATTATTCAAATGCTTCTTTACTTGCCAATATGTTGAAAGTTGATACATGTATTGATTACTAAGCTCTAGTCAGCGAAAATTATGAGGAAAATTTTCAGTAAATTCCAATGTTTCCTTTGTAATTTCATAAAATTTTAAAATTGAAAATTAGTTCCTACTATTTGTAAAATTTATATTTTTTCACGTTCTGAAATGCATTTCTTTTTGCTTAATATTTTGTAGAAATTAAAGAAAAACACTCTTATCAAGAAACCTGCCTGTGATTAATAAAACGTAATGGTGGAGTTTGTCTTCATTTTCCCAATGAAATTCATTCTTTCATTCTTGCGTGTACATGTGTGCGTGTTTTAAGTTATTTTATGTTAATAAGGAAATCTCTTCGGAAAACAATTCACGAACTTATGGCAAACATTTAAAATTCTTGATAAAACAAAACATCAGAGAGTACATAAACATTCTATTTACCGCAGTATCTATCTACATGTGTCATTAATGAACCTTTTTTTTTTTTATTTTGCCAATAAGTATGTCAGATTGACTAAATGATAATTAGTCATAAACTGCATGGATGGCGTCTGCCGAATTTAGAATTTTTGTGATCGGCTTCGGTGGATCACGATTGATTCCATATGAGGCATCCGGTAAATGTAACCTAGGCGACGGTCTTCATTTTTCACTATGCACTGAAAGCTTCGTGTAAATTTATCGTATTTAGATACATTTTTAAATGCATATACTTTGAGATATAGTTACTTGGTAAATAAAATGCGTTTTCTTTATAAGCGCAAGAATTTTATTAACTTCCGAAAAGGAATGTACAATGGGAATTAAACAATAACAGAGAGATCTATATTGAAGGCCTCGATCCACGGGGAGAGTTGCGTGGAACTCTTGTTTTGTTTGAACATGTATAAAATTTGTTTTTAAATCCTAATTTAATTGTTTTGGAATACTTGTGTTTAAAGTTATTCTATAAGCAGATAGAATAAGTGTAGCCATAGGCATTATAAAACCTAGACATGTGAGGAACTGAGGATGTTCCTTCAGACTCTTTCATACAGGCCCCTTAGTATTGATACTATATTTTTATCCAAATTATTACGAATGAATTAATTCCATATAAGCAGTTTCCCCACCTTTTCTACCATGATCTTTGTACAAAACATCTGTTTTTTACAAGATTTACACAAATAACCTAGATCAGCAATCTTAAAGGATACTTGATAACAACACACGTACTGAAATCATTGAAGAGGAAGGATCATGTACAACCAAAGAGAATGTATGTAGTAATCGCTGGCGGATTAAGAGGGGGGGGGGCAGAAGGCCCACCCCCTTTTGTGACAAAAAATACACACAAGATTAATTCAGTTTGTTTTGTTGTGGGATATTGCAATAATTTTACATAAAGTATAGCTAAAATAAGTCGGAAAACTGTTCCATAAAACAAAAACCTAAGAGCTTTCGGGAGCTTCGCCCCCTGGGCCCCCAACCCAGACCCCGATTCGTTTCCCCTCCCCCTTTTCAAGAATCCTGGATCCACCACTGGTAATAGAGAGGTACATTTCTATGGAGCCGTGGATTTAGGAGATAATCCTTACATCGCTGGTTCGAATCTCACTGGGTGACGTGGAGATTAAACTCAGACTTTTCTCATTGAAAAATCAAATGTTATTTTAAATAAGGATTTACTTAGTCCACAAACAGTCCGTAAAAGATTTCTTTTCAATTTAAAAAACAAAAGTTAAACTGGAACAATTACATCCAAATTAATCAGAATCTAAATTAAACATGCTTTTCAAACAAATTATATCTCTCATTTTCTAAAAAAAATATATATATTTTTTGTTTTTTGTATCTGTATTTTTATTGTTCCCACTGTTTAAAAACAATTATTTATAGAAATAAAAGAATATATACCTAAGAATTATTCGTATTTTACATTTTAGTCAGGGTGTACTACATGTATCTTATTAAGGAGAAACAACTCTAACTGTATCACTTCTCTGAAGGAGTCCAGTACTCTTACCTTATTACAAATGTCAAAGTGAAAGTTTGTAGTAATGGACATCATTGGGACAAGTTTTGCAGGTCCACTAATAATAAATAACTTATTTAACTGATTAAGAATGCTACATCTAGCCACTGAAAATTGTCTCAAGATCACACAGAGATGTTTGATATGTCTTATCTACCGATTTAAATTACGAAAAACTCCAACGCAGGTTTGCCCTTCTGTCCCTATTTGTCCTTTAGACCTTGGCATTTAATGGATTAATTTAAAAATTACTTTTTTCATTCATTAATGTCCAGTATGGTTTCTTTTCATGGGTGACTGATCAACCGTGTCGATTTTCATTTATCGTTACTAACAAGTGTGTCCTTATCCGGCGTAAGTTTGAGTAAACAAGTTTATTGTGCATTATTTACAGTCATTTCTCTTTGTTCTGGAAAGACATCTTACTCAGTAAGTAATTCAACTGTATTTCAACTGTAATTCGTTTACAATTCAACAGTAATTCAACTGTAGGTACATGTATTTGACCCATTGTTTCGTTGTTTTTTTTCATCTCCTTACTACGGAATCCCCTCTGAATATAAATGTTTTATTTGTTTACTTTACTATCAAAACTGATATAAAATGACTGTTTTTCTCCTCCAAGTAATAAACGTGTTCTGCTGGTCAGGTTACCACGTAAGAAGTAAGTTCGATAGGTCAAATGTGCAGGCACTATATTTCATAAACAACACAACACGAGTAATGATAAAGGATGGGGGCGAACAAGACGAAGAAAATCCCCCGATCTGAGACATATTTGTCAATTTTCAAAGTTCATGGAAAAGTTTGTTTTTTTTTTAATTATATTGTCAGTTATGTCATCTTTATTTTGGGTCATTTATTTCATTGAATAATTTATTGATTGGTAATTTATTTTTTTAAATTGACGGATAAAGCATATTGCGTGGGAAATAGGTCTATCAGAACTATTTAAAATGATTTTTGAATATGAATGGGTCAAGTGTTCATTCTAAATAAACATTTAAATGACGGGAAAGTGAATGTAAAATCTACTTAATATATTTTGAAAAGGGAATCTGAACCCTTTCTATTGAGCTAACTAGTGCTAATTTTAACGGAAACCCTTAACAGATGTTCCCCAAACGGCTCCCTAGTTCCCTTATGGTGCCCTATTTCCTACAAGCTTCATTTATAGGCAATACCTTTGTATTCTAAGCCTACACATTATACTTTCCAAAGCATTTATTGGGAAAATAACGCAGATTTAGCCGTATGAGTATTAGCCAGTCAGATTTAAGCGCTTGTCCATGCACATGTGTTCTAGGTTTCACAGATACATCTTCTTTTAGTGCCTCATAATATATACCTATGAGATAAATTTCAACGAATTTCATGAGAAAAAAAATTGAGTTACATTTAAGTGTAAGGAAATTAGAAATTAGCACACATACATACATGTTCCATCAAGTTAGGTTGAAAAGTAAGGAAGTTATAAGCATTTAAGTTTCAGATTGCAGCACACATGCATGGGCACATTTTCAAGAACTTTTATTTCTATCGTATTGTAGAACTCTATAATATATAAAAAAGGAAGCTTTTGAGATTTTTGTATCAGCCAATCAGACCTAAGCACACAAACATGCGCGTGCGATCTTCCTAATTCAACCATATCATCTTGTCTTGCATATCATATCATGTTAGGCGATTGAGGGGCAAATTGAAAACCAGCTATCCTTCTGTGTTAAATAATTCAGAAGTGAAAAAAGAATTAAATAGATTACACGATCAGTATGTACCTGCTGAAAAAGCAGGTAACAACATTGTGTTTGTTTGTAAGGCTCATTATTTAAATTATATTTTAGAGGAACTGGGATTTAATTCAACAAGTAGTAATCCAATTTATGCCCATAGCTCCCTTTCTAAGGAGGAAACTTTTCAAAATCATATGTCAATTTTGAATATTTTTAATATTCCCAACAACCAACATGAATTTGAATTACCATACCTTTACTGGATTCCGAAACTTCATAAAAATCCTTACAAACAAAGATACATAGGGGGTCCAGTAAATGTTCTACCAAGCCTCTTTCTTTACTCCTCACTAAAATATTAACAGTAGTGAAGGAGAAACTATAGGAATACTGTGCAACAATATCTTCGAGAATTGGTGTAAATCAGATGTGGATGCTTAAAAATTCCAAGGAACTTTTGGAAAATTTGAAATCACAAAATTTTACCAAAATCAACAACATAAAAACTTATGACTTTTTAACTTTATATATAACCATTCCCCACGATAAATTAAAGTCCAGGTTTTTTGATATCATTGACAGCTGCTTTTTCAATGAAAATGGAAGTCGTTCTATAAACTTACTTTGTCATTGGTCATGTGCAAAATTATTTTGTAAAAAATATTCTGATTGTACACACAAGTACTCTGAAGTTGATACCCATGTGGTTTTTGGAGACCAGGTCTTCCTACAATCTATTGGAATTCCCATGAGTACCAATTGCGCCCCGTTATTAGCAGACCTATTTTTGTATTCATATGAAGCAGAATTTGTTCAAAATCTTATACGTGAAAAGAAGAAAACACTTGCTGTGGCCTTCAACTCGACATTTAGATATATCGATGACGCATTGTCAATTAACAATGGTTTTTACCATTCTTATGTCGATACGATATATCCCAGTGAGCTTGAAATAAAAGATACCACAAAGTCTGACACATCTGTTTCATATTTGGATATTTTACTAGAAAAAAAAAATCTTACAACCATGCTTTATGATAAACGTGATGACTTCATTTTTACAATCATCAGCTTCCCTTACTTATGCAGCAATATACCTTCATCACTTGCATACGGGGTTTATATCTCTCAGTTGATTCGATACGCAAGAGCATGCTCTACGTATGTACAATTTCTAAAACGAGGTAAATTATTGACAAACAAGTTGGTGATACAAGAATATCAGCAGTCTCGTTTAAAGTCGTCATTTCGTAAGTTCTATTCGATACAATGACCTTGTTAGCAAGTACAATTTATGATTAAGTCAAATGCTGACTGACGTTTTACATACTTATTGTTTGGCCATTATTTACACACTGAATTGTCGACGGGTTTTTGCGTTATTTCCTGATCATGACAAGGAACACACAGAGGGTGTGACTGGTCGGCAGGGGATGTTCACTCCTCCATGGCACCTGATCCCACCTCTGACGTTTTAGAGGTACGTGTTTGCTCTGCTCCAAAATTAGTATTGTTTAATGGACTTTTGAGCCTGAAAACCGTTCGTTATCTCCATACATTTCATCAGTGTATGTTTATATCCTGAGTTTCAAGGCATTTCCTCAGGAAATGAGACTGTTAAATCTATCTAAAGTATATCAGTCTTTTCTCATATCCACTAACAAAAAAGTACCATAGTAAACTATACTTTACTTTATTTAACTACAATTTACAGTTTGATACTTAAGTATCAAAGTTTATACTGTGGGAAATCAAAGTTTTTACTATTGTTCATCAAAGTATTTTTATTATGAATTTCAGATTGTTATATTTTATTTCTTTTCAATAACTATAAGCGATTTTCTTACATTAAAAGGAAATATTACTTGTTTGTTCATATATTGTTTCAAAATTTACATCATAGTATGTAATTTGAGAAATATTAAGGCTCTAAGTCTTCAAAAAAAGTTATAGAGGAAAGTTTCAAAGTAAATCAAAGTATCATAGTATTTACTAAAATGGTTAACAATAGTAAACTATAGATTAGTAAGTTGTTACAGTCGCACGCGAACGCAAAATGATCTTTGTTCCGCCCATCTACACAACTACACAACATGCTTATTCACCCTTAAAAGGATTTATCTTAATCGGATGAGAAGTTTGCTGGAACAATTCTGGATAAAAAAAGAAGTACCAGAGAAGAAAAAAAAGAAGAATTAGAAACAGAGTAATTAAATCACTCAGAGTAATTAAATCACTCTGCCACATTTAAGATAAAAGAAGACTGCCTAGGTAGTGGGTAATGCTTTAAACATTATGCCAAACCCCTAGCCATGGACTGACTTTGAATCATGCATGAGGCTCTTATTTTTCTTTTCACATACTTTAAAAAATCATATAAATTATAATACTAGTAATTCAATAAAATAAGGAAAAAATGTGTAAAAGATAATACTGACAACGCAATTTTTGAACAAAATAATTTTTCTTTGAACTTTTAGAATTGAGGAAATTTCTTGCATCAGAGTAGGGGAATTGTCGAATTGTCATCGCCTTACACGCCTGTATTCTTTAAAAATGAAACTTGAACTGTTGATTAAATTGTGTAATGAACTGTTAACAAAAACTTCAAGAAGATCCTGCCAGTGAACGAAGATCCTGCCAGTGAACCAATGCTTTATTTATGTGTATCATCTTCAGCCATAGAAGACGGCGTATCTCAACAAATTCTATAGAAGCAAACTTATAGTCTTTAGCTATAGACTGAAGGATGCCATATTAAGTTTTTCCTTACCTCCTCTGGAGTGAAAATTTAAAACCAAATATCCATTGAAATTAATATTTATCAGTCAAATTCGTACAGAATAAAGCGATCGATAAAGAATTTTAAAGATTGTGACATGTGATATTTTATTTTTATCGAGTATAAACAAACAAGGCGCATTTTCTAACGTTATGATTTTAATCATGTACAGCATATTTTAGATTAAGCTGGGGATTTCGATATGCAGGAGATAGCTAAACGATCATTGTACTCATTCAAGGCATGAGCGTGCTTTGATTTCGATAGAAGATTTTTGGTGTCCTCATAATATTCTGAGGTATATATATATATATATATATATATATATATATATATATATATATATATATATATATATATATATATATATATATATATATACTTTTATACTTTGATAAATTTCTAGACCGAGACAGGCTACTGACAATTAAATTGATGAAACAGGGGTATTATCGATTGTGTTGAAATTCAAATTAAATTAAATTCTATGATCGTTACAATGAACCATCTTGCAAAATAGACTTTAGTTTGTTCGAATAATGACTGACTTTATTTTTTTCATAATAAATTATTAAGCAGTTACTTTCAAACTGCTTTGTGTTTGAATTACCCAATTTATGTGATCAAGAGAAAGAGCGTACGATGGATCACCGATGGAGAGGGGATGTTTACCCCTTACTGGTTCCTGATCTTTACCTAAATTTGTATTGTTTTAGGGGATTTTGAAATTGTTGTCTTTACTTTTCATTTTAGCAGCAGGTGTTTCTTAAGACCTAGACTCTCCAAATAATGGATACTCAAGGATTCAGTGCTCAGTGTAAAGTAAAGGAATGTGTTCAATGTCAGAGGGACACAGAATTCTACTGTAACACATGTAAACACGACCTGTGTCTACAGTGTAAAAAGAGACATGTTATTGATCTACATACGATATACCACGATGTTTTGATTTACCGTGAGAAATATGAACACATCCCAATACAAGAATCTTGTGCGAGACATCCAGGCAGAATCTATGAAAAGTACTGTTACTCGTGTGAACTTCCTGTTTGTGTTAAATGTACAGATCACAGAAAACAAAACATACCTCTTGTTTGCTTTAAACAGAGAAAACATGAAATATTGGACATAAGAACAGCTTATAAAACAAATCGCCGACAATACAAAGAAATCTTTCAAAATATCGGAAGTCATACAATCTTTAACAGCTGTTTTATCCTGTCAAAAATTAAAAATGATATAAAAGCTTGTCACAAAGAAAACAGAAAACACCAATCCGAGATGTGGACAAAAGCCGAGAAACTAAAATATCTCGCTAACTCTGTGGTATGTGATGTTAAAACCAGACATAAAGGTTTTATTCAGAGATTACATCAACAAATTAGAAAAATGAAAAGACACCTTGTCAGCGTAGAAAACTATGAACATACATCTGAACAGTCAGAAAACAGAGCGGTCAAATTCCTTTTATTTATTAAGAAAACACGTGTCCCCAAGATGAAGGACACTCCTAATCTGAAACATCCCTCCCTGCTCTCCCTGACCGAAGAAATCAACAGGGAGGATGTAATTAAGTTACTGACTGAAATCCAGATCATAGAGACAGGAAAAAGACAAGTAAGAAATGAATGTTTACTGAAACTGATGTCAACACCCGTGTTGCACACAACCGTCAAACTAACAGGTGTTAGTCGTGTAAGACACATTTCCTGTGTGACGTCAGAACGGGTTTGGATCACTGATGGCGTCAACAGCAATGTAATCTTGACAAACATAACAGGAGACACACTGCATCAACTAACAGATATTGCTTCTTATATATGGAATTATGGAGCACACACCGTGGACATTACAGGTGATCTTATTTATATAGATAGGGATTATAACATCAACAAACTTTCTAAAGATAACAGAACAAAGTCTACACTCATAAAGAAAACTGAACAATTGGAACCACATTGTGTCTACTGCTCTCCCTCCAATGGAGATCTTATGGTGGTGATGTATAATACTTATACAAAGACAGCCTTTGTAAACCGTTACAATAACACAGGAGAACACACACAGACAATACAGTACGACAACACACGTCAGAAACTGTATAGACTACCTAATTACATCACAGAGAACTGCAATGGAGATATCGTTGTGTCTGACTATGATCGTGCTGTAGTCGTGACAGACCATGGAGGGAGACATCGCTTCTCCTACACAGGACCTCCATCTGGATCAGGACTACGACCACGTGGTATCTGTACGGACGCGCTATTGAACATCCTTGTATGTGATGTGAACACTCACACAGTACAAATGATAGACAAGGACGGACGCTTTCTATCACTTATACTTACACCCAAGCAAGGGATAAACAGACCACAGGGCCTGTATTATGACGTCAAAAGTCACCTTCTCTGGGTGGGATCATGGAACAAAGTGTGTACGTGCAGATACATAGAGAGAAGACACTATAAGAGAGATAATTAAAAACACGGACACATGTCCAGTGACAGGAGTACGGGTAAATGTGTTAAGTTGCATGTTAAGTGATGATTGATTATATAGATACATACACAGGACTATCTGACAGGTAATTATCATAATTATAAGGAAATGATTACATATAAGTAAACAAACATTTATGATTGTACAAAAATATTTAATGACTATCTTACATTTTATTTGTATTAATTATCAAGATACATGTAAATGAAAATAAAAATACAGACAAAAAATTCAAACAGGTACATTAAATCAGTTTTAAGAGACATGTTCAAACATAAAGACACTGACCTATTACATACTAACAGGGAAAATGTAATACGATACAGGTACTTGTAAGGACAGTAGCGTCAAATAATTGTGTTGTCTATCTCAAAGTTTGTTGTATTTACACAGAATTCTCAGATTTCTGTAATCATGGTTGATATTCAATATTATCAGGAACAGAGTATTTTGTTCCCGTTTTACATGTGTTAATTTCTTAACAATATTGCTAAACAAGATTTAATAAAGAAATTAAACTCAGAATTTAAAAAGTTGTTTCTCTAAGAGTCTACTGTTGAATTATCATGTACGTTTCAATTTTCAATGCTGTGTGGTAGTGAATTATTTTCGACTTCCAAGTAAACAAACCTGTATATTACTTTGTAACGTTTACCACAGAGTCTAACAGATCTGTTTCATATTTGGATATTTTACTTGAAAAGGACGTTAATGGTAATCTAACAACCAAGCTTTATGATAAACGTGATGACTTTAACTTTTCAATCGTCAACTTCCCTTACTTATGCAGCAATATACCTTCATCACCTGCAAACGGGGTATATATCTCTCAGTTGATTCGATACGCAAGAGCATGCTCTACGTATGTACAATTTCTAAAACGAGGTAAATTATTGACAAACAAGTTGATGAAACAAGAATATTAGCTGTCTCGTTCAAAGTCATCATTTCGTAAGTTCTAAGGTCGATACAATGACCTTGTTAGCAAATACAATTTATCATTGAGTCAAATGCTGACTACAAATTGTTTGGCCATTATTTTCACACTGAATTGTCGACGGATTTTTCCGTTATTTCCCGATCATGACAAGAGCACACGGCGGGTGTGACCGGTCGGCAGGGGATGCTCACTTCTCCATGGCACCTGATCCCACCTCTGATGTTTGGAGGTCCGTGTTTGCTCTGCTCCTATTTTATATTGTATAATGGTCTTTTGAGCTTGAATACTGTTCGTTATCTCCATATATGAAATATTTCATATTTCATTATCAGCAATATAAGCAATATACAGATAAAAAGAAAAAAGAAATCGAGAGATAATTCTGTAAAATGTCAAAGAAATAAAAAAAAAAAAAAAAAACATCAAAAATATGAAACAAATATTTTGATTTGACTATAGTGATATATGTTAATATGCAAAAAGACTAGTTATGAAGTTTTAAAAGATAAATAACTCGTACATAATTAAAAAAATGTTTCTCGTGAATAATTGACAACAATCAGAGCATACTGGGAAATATTTTCTATAATAGACGTTAAGAAGCACTTTTGCATATTCATTTCGAAAAGTTGGTTTCCAAAACTCAGTACTTATTCAATGTGCCACTAATATCCATTCATAGTTATGAGTACTTTTCATTAAACATGAGAGTTTGTAAAATTCTTGGAAAGTGCGCTATACCCTTTTTTTTTTTTTTTTAACTTTTTGCACATTGTGTGAAAATAATTTTTCGCCAGTTTGATAAATTATTATAAGATTGTAATATGCAGGCTGACACAGCATTTATAGGGTCCGAAATATGAGTAGTAAATGCATTGCATTTTTGACTAAAAAGAAGCATTATCAGCGATGTTTATTTTTATTACCAGGTTATACGGATATATACTTTGACAAAATTTACATTCATAAAAACTCTGAGATCTGAAATGCGAAAAGATGGAAAAGATGAAACCACACAAGCACATATCTCGGACATTTGTACATGTATATACCTTGAAGACTAGGTTTGGACTATTTCGAGAAGCACCGACTTTAACAGTTGACGGCTTACTTTCATTGATTGATTGTTGTTTAACGTCCCTCTCGAGAGTTTTTTACTCATATGGAGACGCCACCACTTGCCGGTGGATGGCTACAAATTCTGACCTTTACCCGGCCATTGAGCAGTGAGGGATCTTTTTCGTGCCAGCACCTATTGCGACACGGGACCTCGGTTTATACGGTCTCATCCAAAGGTCTTTATCTACCCACCACAGTGGGATTCGAACCCGCGACGTAAAGATCAACTCCTTACTCCGCGACTCTAAGACTTACTTTGAAATGTAAACTAACCTTTTGTATGGAGGAACCATATTAATATTAAACGTGCTAACAGGTATGGTTTTAGGGGCACAAACATGATTTACCGGTATACAATCAACGCAAGAGATGATAGGGTAGAAATATGTAGCTCAAATAACCTTTTGAGTGTTAGAATCTTCTTTCAATCTCATTTTCTGAAGGAATGTATGAAGGGAGAAAATGCATGAAGGAAGAAAAACATTCCAGAAGGAATGACCCAATATTATCATTTAAATAACTGTTATCACGAAAGAACTTCCGTATATTGTCCTATTGTAAAGGTAAGTCGTCGATTGCAAAAGCGAGCACTTCTAGCAAAAGTCAAATACCAGTATACCAAAGCATAACCATCAAACATTGTGTTTAAATGAGCCTTAGACGTACTAGGAAAGTTAGCATTAATCCTTAAACTAACAAAACAGTTCCTTCTGTTTTGTAGTAATTGAATGTGCGATAGAATCTGTAGTTGAATTTGAAGTTAAAGGATAAGGTATGGTAATGGCCAAATTCGGTCCCTCATTTGATGTAAAAATCAAACCACAGTTAAAATTGTTGAATTTTTCAGCTAAGAACATAAAATGTTTGCTTGTTTTAAAAGTAGCAATAATTTTGATATGACAAGTACAGGGAGGCCACAGGAGGATGCCAAAGTTGGACATTTAACTACATTTCCTCAATTCTGATGAAATTTTGCCAAGTTTGAGATACTTTTCACTTCAGAAAACATAGAGCACAAGCTTGCATATCTGAGATTTTCATACACAAGATGTATCTGATACTATTGCATGAAATATATGGAGATAACGAACAGTATTCAAGCTCAAAAGTCCATTATACAATACAAAATAGGAGCAGAGCAAACACGGACCTCCAAACATCAGAGGTGGGATCAGGTGCCATAGAGGAGTGAGCATCCTCTGCCGACCGGTCACACCCGCCGTGTGCTCCTTGTCATGATCAGGAAATAACGCAAAAACCCGTCGACAATTCAGTGTGTAAATAATGGCCTAACAATAAGTATGTAAAACGTCAGTCAGCAATTGACTCAATGATAAATTGTATTTGCTGACAAGGTCATTGTATCGACCATAGAACTTACGAAATGATGACTTTAAACGAGACAGCTGATTCTTGTTTTATCAACTTATTTGTCAATAATTTACCTCATTTTAGAAATTGTACATACGTAGAGCATGCTCTTGCGTATTGAATCAACTGAGAGATATATACCCCGTACGCAAGTGATGAAGGTATATTGCTGCATAAGTAAGGGAAGTTGACGATTGAAAAGTTAAAGTCATCACGTTTATCATAAAGCTTGGTTGTTACTATTAACGTCTTTTTCAAGTAAAATATCCAAATATGAAACAGATGTGTCAGACTCTGTGGTATCTTTTATCTCAAGTTCACCAGGATATATTGTATCGACATAAGAATGAAAATAGCCATTGTTAATTGACAATGCGTCGTCGATATATCTAAATGTCGAGTTGAACGCCACAGCAAGTGTTTTCTTCTTTTCACGTACACGATTTTGGACAAATTCTGCTTCATATGAATACAAAAAAGGTCTGCTAATAACGGGGCGCAATTGGTACCCACAGGAATTCCAATAGATTGTTGGAAAACCTGGTCTCCAAAAACCACATAGATATTGTCAATCAGAAACTCAAGCATCTTTTTAATGTCAACTTCAGAGTACTTGTGTGTACAATCAGAATGTTTTTTAACAAAATAACTTTGCAAATGACCAATGACAAGGTAAGTATATTTACGAGTTCCATTTTTATTGAAAAAGCAGCTGTCAATGATATCAAAAAACCTGGACTTTAATTTATCGTGGGGAATGGTTATGTATAAAGTTGAAAAGTCGCAAGTTTTTAAGCTGTTGATTTTGGTAAAATCTTGTGATTTCAAATTTTCCAAAAGTTCCTTGGAATTTTTAAGTATCCACATCTGATTTACACCACTTCTCGAATATATTGTTGCACAGTACTCTTGACGTTTCTCCTTCACCACTGTTAATATCTTAGTGAGGAGTAAAGATAGAGGCTTGGTTGAACATTTACTGGAACCCGCTATGTATCTTTGTCTGTAAGGATTTTTATGAAGTTTCGGAATCCAATATAAATATGGTAATTCAAATTCATTTTGATTGTTTGGAATATTAAAAATATTCAAAACTGACAAATGATTTTGAAGAATTTCTTCCTTAGAAAGGGACAAAGGGAACTATGAGTATAAGTTGGATTACCACTTGTAGAATTAAATCCAAGTTCCTCTAAAATACATTTAATGTAATGAGCCTTACAAACAAAGACAATGTTGTTACCTGCTTTGTCAGTAGGGACCAATACGTATTGATCATGTAATCTATCTAATTCTTTTTTCACTTCTGGATTATTGAATACAGAAGGATAGATGGTTTTCATATTGCCTCTCAATCTTTTAATGCGTGATTTTAACATACATCTGAAACATTTAATCCATTCTGACAAAGTGTCAAGGTCTTCTTTTTCATGTCTGGCCCATCGCCTGGCGTAGTCCTCTACAGAATCCATAATATTTATGAAATTCCGACGCCAGTTGA